CACTTTTCCAGAAGCCTCTCCCAGGATATATCAATTCTGGCCATCCTTTCCCCCAAGGGACACTCAAAACGGATGCCTGCTTGAACCGTCTCGCGGGGTTGGACTAGAAGACCTCTAAGGTCCCTACCCACCCTTCGATTACCCTATCCGAGGTGCGCACGCGCCGTCCGGATTTTAACAACCCAGGGAATCCTGCAGGCATCCACACCCCGGGCGCATACAAAGCAACCGGGCCTCCAAGCCAGACCCTTAACCCTGATTGGCTAAACCAGGGATGAGCCGGCGGCTCCCAGGGTCCCAGAGCAAACCCCCCCCCCCCCCCCCCCCCCCCCCTCAACCGCCCGTGGGAGGTGGGAGGGGGGCCCTTGCCGGAGATGAAAAGCTTTGCAAAGCTCCTGGCTGAGGGGGAGATTTGGGCTTTTGTCTGGTGTGTGTGTGTGTGTGTGTGTGTGCGTTTGTGTGTGTTTTGCAGGCATGCAGAGCTGGTGGCTCTGCTTCCCAAAGCCCCAGTTGGGCTCCCCGAGCCCGTTGCCATGGAAACCGCTGTCAGCAGCTGGAAGCCCCCTGCCCGGCTGGCGTGGCTGGCTGGCTGCAGTTCCCGTGGCCAAGGATCAAGCCGTCCATCCGTCAAAGAGTAGAGCGGGAAGGGGGCCTTCTGAGGTCTTCTAGTCCAGCCCCCCCACCCCTCCCCGCTCAAGCAGGAGATTGTATTATTCTGGACAAATGGCTGCCCAGTCTCTTCTTGAAAATATATTCTCTCGTCTATATTTTATATAGGAGAGAAGAGAATAAAAAGAATTGGAAGGGACCTTGGAGGTCTTCTAGTCCAACCCCCTACGGTCTCTTCTTTAAAACTCTCCAGTGTTGGAGCAACCCACCACTTCTGGTGGCAAGCAGTTCCACGGGTTCATTGTCCTCCCTGACAGGAAGTTTCTGCTTAATTCCAGGTTGCTTCTCTCCTTGATGAGTTTCCATCCCAAATCCCCCCTCCTCGTTTTCAATTTCATCCGGGGGTCCTCAGCCTACCCAGGCCTCCTGCAAGGATTAAGACAGGCCCCAAAAGGGAAACCGGGGGTTTTTAAGAAGAGAATGGACAACCCTTTGTCTGGAGTGGTGTAGGGTTTCCCTGCCTAAGCAGGGGGTTGGACTAGATGACCTCCGAGGCCCCTTCCAACTCCGTTGTTCTCTTCTAAGAGGGGGCTTGCTTGCACCACGTAAGACGGATCCCACAAATGCCCAACACCTCTTTCCCAACGCCCCCCTTACCCTTACACACACACACACACACACACACACACACACGTAATTTTCCCAACCAAAGTGACTAATATTTCCACCAAGTGTCGGGAAGCGACATTAACAAGCAGCTAATTAGCACCGCCGAGTTTTCTTTTTTTCCTTTTTTTTTTCCTTTTGACAAGCCCCGTGTCAGAGCCTCTAATGAGTCTCGCGTTCTGCTTTTAATCAACGGTCTCTCCGTCACACTTTTAATTTAATTTCTGGATCAAAATGCCAGCCGCGAGTTCGGGCGGGCCGGGAAGGGAAAGCCGGGGGAATCTCTCTGCAAACGCAGCGCCTTTTGCATCCGGATCTTTTGGGGGGGTCTCCCTCCCGCCCCCATCCAAATATCTACATTCCCCCACACACACACCCTACCCTCCCCACCCCAGTGTCAATTTTTGGGACAATCTAGGCTGCTTCGACTCAGCCGCCACAACAGAATTGGAAAATAAATCTTATTTTTTTGGGGGGGGGGGGAGAAATATAGCTAGTCCTCGACTTATGACAGTTCGTTTAGTGACCGTTGGAAGTCGCAAGGGCGCTGAAGAAAAAAGGGGGGGGAGTTAGGATCATTTTTCACACTTATGACCGTTGTAGGATCCCCGTAGCCACGTGATCAAAATTCAGGCAAGTTGGGAAGGCCGCAAAATCTGAATAAATGGCCACTTATGAGTGCCGTTGTAAGTCTGAAGGGTCAGTATATGAACTGCTGTAAGTCAAGGATTACCTGTATGTTTTATCCACCCAGATAGATAGGAGGAGGAGGAGGAGGAGATGGAGAAGGAAGGAGAAGGGGAAGGAGAGGGAGAAAGAGAAGGAGATGGAAGGAGGAGAGAGAGGAGGAGAAAAAGTAGAAGGAGAGAGAGAGAGAGGAGAAGGAAAGAAGGT